AGTAAACAAGATGTTTGTGCTTTCTGTATTTCTAACAACATCTTGTGTTGACTCTGTTTTTCAGCTTCCTCTTCATTTGTCATGAGTTTCTTGGTTTGTTGCTCTTAGAACAAAGTTGAAAACATTCACAGAAAATTTTAAATGCGTTCCTTGTGTCATTTATTCTTCTTAATAATATGGTTAATATGCAGGATTTTAGTATTTTTGTATAAAAGGAACATTTTTGTTGGTTCAGTCTTTTTGGTTTTGGCCAAGACAAATATTATTTGTTTACATTTAGCAACAAGAACAAGAGATTGCTCACTGCCTAGTTTAATTAGTGACAGGAGGGCGGGCGGGCGGACATGTTTGAGCTTCAAACACAAACAAAAGAAAGTAATTAGTGTTGAACGCGTTTTATTCTTAAATTAATTTTTTCTGTAAATAAAAGTTCTCCTGCTGTTTTAGGACTTGAGCGTTTTCAGTGAAGTGCAGTGAGAAAATAACCAACACAGCTACAGGAACTCTTATTCTCTTTAACTTGCCATATTATCTATATAAAACACTGTGGAGACATAGAAAATTTGGCTTGTAGTTTTTATCACAGTAACTGTTTATATCTTGTCTCCGTTTCTGAGTCTGAGCTCAGCGCTGATGTCACATCCGCATGAGCGAAATGCTAAGTGCGTTAGACGTTTCAAAAGTTCGCTGAAGTGTTATATGAAACTTCAGCTCTAGTGGATTAGAGGAAGTGTGCCACCAGTTGAAGCCAGGGTCACATTCTTGTTTGCGTCTGCGTTTCTTTATTCTTTATTTATTCAGCATGAAGGTAGTGGCTTCATTTGCAGCCGTAGAAACTTGACACATCATCAAAAAAACCACGAGGAAGTGTGGGCACGGGTTGAAATACTTATGTTTCTGAGAAGACCCTGAATATTTCCTGGATGTTGCACCAAAGTGTTTATACTGATCACAGGAGGAAAACATTAAGCAGAAACTGCTGCTGCTCTCCTGCAGGAAGTGCGAAGTGGCGTTCCAGTATGCATCGTCCTGCAGCAGCTTCAGTTCTCGATTACGTTCTTACTTCCTGTCTCGGGTGACGCTGGAACTTTCTCGGAGTCGTTTCTTCACAGAAAGCTGCAGCTGTGCCCGCCCGCGCAGCTGCAGACGTCAAACCTCACAGCTGCGTCGTCATGCCAAACGGCGATCTATGCCACTCTGTAGCAGATGGAGAAGATGGAGCCGCCTGTGGCTGGAAGGAAGTGACTCCATCGCTTCGAGAGCCGCAGCTTTACATGAGGTCAGACGAAGACTAGCACCAATCAACTTCTGTTCAGGAACGAGAATTATTAGTTTATCACAGCTTTGTTGTTCCAGGTGTGTTTGGTTTGGTCAGCTGACCTACGAAATGGCTGCTTGACCTTTCCAGTGGTGAGCTGAAAGCCTGGTGGGTTTCTCCTCATCTTCCTCCACTTTGGTTCGTCTTTCTTCTCTGGTGCTCGAGTGTTTCCTCATGAGTCATGCAGAGAAGATGGGGGGAAAAAATCCAAGTTTTCCTGCAACTCAGCGAATGTTGCTCATATAATCAGAAAGATGATGATCGCAGAAAGAGTGCTGAGTTGTGCAGAAGGTTTTAGTTTTCAGTTCTTAATTTTGCCTAAAAACGGTACCATAAAATGTGACAAAATGAGGGTTAAAGTTGCTTTGGTCTCAACTGGATATATTTTTGAAGGATAATTTAGTTTACAGACCTCATAATTAATTTATTTGTTGTTTATTTATTGTGGATATTAAAAATGTTAAATGAAATTGGATGTAAAATTCACCAAACTTGATTCCCAAAGTTGATTAAATGTTGGCGCAAGTCAAATTTGTCCACATTAGATGGAAAATATTCTGTAATTTGGCATAAAATAAACCTACATGTGGGGAAAATTGGAAGCAATAAACCAAACTTTATTGAACTGGTAAGAATTAAGTTGGTGGAAATTGAGCTCGGTCCAACAAAAGAAGGAGCTGTTGAGCCAAACTGCGCAAAATCAGACTCAAAAATGTTTGAAATGAATTTTATCCACAAAATTTGACCTCAAGATGCGTAATTGATCAACATTCACAGTTGAACGTCGAAAACGAGGCACAGAATTGGACCCAAATTGGTGCAGAACTTAATGAAATTAGACCCAGAATTGAAATGAATTACAAAGGGTCCCGTAAAGGGAGGTGGAGAACATAGCACCACCTAATTAGACACAATTCTCGAATCAGGTGCCAAGTTGGCCAAAGTCAGACACCAGACTGGCAAAAACTGGTTTCAAAAACGACCAAAAAGAGTCATGGAGTTGGCAGAAGCAAAGCACAGAGTTGGCTGGTGGCCGGGTTGTGGTCTGCTTGGGGATTTTTGTTCCAACTCACAGGCTCCTGTTTCCAGAAAACATTGAGTTTTCTGGAAACTAAAAGTCCAGTTTATTTTGGGGATGTGGCAGTTTGGGACCATTTCTGTTGCCGTTTCTGATGAAATGTTAAAATGATGTTTCATGTGACCGAACATTTCCTAGAACATCTCTCAGGTTTTGCATCTGCCTTGTTTCCTCCCTTCCTTTTATCGTTTTTTGTTTCTGTCTTCATCGTTGCGCCGTCTGCTTCTCACGGCGGGAAAAGCATCACATGCATCTCCATCCTCTAGTTTCTATGGCAACGCAGCGGAGAGCAAAGGAGCCCGGAGTTGCTCCTTCATCCCTCGTTTATGATGAAAAGCAAAGTGAAAAGAGAAGGGGAAAAACGAGGGCTGGGAGCAGAAAAACGGTGATATGGAAGCGGGGCCGGCGCTCGCTCTTGTACAGGATGTTGTATCTATGGCAACCTCGGCCGGTTATCAGAAAATTGAAGTCCCTTCTGTTCGTTCTGCTCTGCCTTTTCAGAGACGCCGTGCCATTTATCTCCCGCTTCATATTCTGCTCTTCATCTCATTACCGAGTCGTGCGCCGCAGAAACAAAACAAAAACAAAACCCGGTTCGGCGGCCTGCAGACGGAAAGACTGCAGCCGACGTTTACTCTTCCACAGAAAATTAAACATCTTCCCTGAACCAATATTTGCCGTGGACGTGGTCTGTAATGAAAATCCTGCGTGTGGAGCCAGCCAGCGATCTATGAGCTGCAGAGGGATGTGCACATGAAGGAAGAGCGTGTTTGTTCTTCAGCGGAGGGAGGAGGAGGGAGCTGTTTGCTCTATAGAGCGAGAGATGGACGCAATTAAAGAAGAGGAGCACCTGTCCGCCGGAGTCGCCCAGCCGCCTTCATGTACCGGCTCAGGCGAGTTTCTGTGAGAAAAACAAGAAAGAAGGAGAGAGAACCCAATCCAGATGAACGGCTCAGGTCAGGGGTGTCCAAAGTGCGGCCCGGGGGCCAATTTTGGCCCTCAAGAAGGCTATGTTCACATTGCAGCCTAAAGTGAAAATAGATGGAGATGGTAATTAATTAAATAGCGATTAGCTATTTTGAGCATTTTTAATAGCTAATCGCTATTAAAAATACCAAATTTTAAGCTATATGGTTACAAGTATTACTCGTTTTCTTTCACTGCTGTATGCGATGTACAATGGCTGCTGGAAAAAATAAAACAAGTATTTCGTTGACTTGCTCAGAAACCATTTCCTGCATTGTTGTTGGTTGTGCAGGAGGCTCCACTTCTGCTTTTTAAATGTGTACGGTTTAGAGGTACAGAAAAAAATCTATTCTATAAAGAATCATAATTCTTAATCCTGGAAAGTCTGAATCAATTCAAAAATACCAAAAAATTGGAAGCTGTATACATTCCTCATAATTCTTTTACATATTTTAGTTATTTAAGAAAAACCCAGGCAGCTGAAGCGACATTCACACTGTGACCCAAATCCATTTTTTACTCTCTGTTTCATTGAGCATAAAGGATTTAGTCAGTTTGGCAGACTTCCTTTTGTTTTAGATCTGGAATGATTTACACGTCGCTGGTCTGTAGAAGTCTGACTGCTTTTCAGTCACTCACTGCTCAAGAATATTTTAGCCTGACTGTTTGTTTGGGGCTTTACGTTCTTGTTGCTGCGGCTTGAATTACCATAATCAGAGCTGAAAGTTTCTCCCAGTTTCACTGAGTCTTGACATTAGATCTGCTACAGAAATTATCCTCCTCTCTGCTCATCTCGCCACTAAACTATCTTCTGCTTCCTTTTATAACTCGTTTTATGGGAACTTGGTCAGATGTAATTTACAGTGAAGCAGCTCTCGCTCCTTAAAAACTTGATCACGTGTCGCTCTGCTTCATCTGCTGTCGTTTTCAGCGCGTCTTTGTGCCGCTCCTGCTTTGCGATCATAAATACTAGCCCACTCTGGGAACTCTTGGGCAGCCGAAGGAAAAGGAAAAGAATAACAAACAGGTAATTGTTAAAGAGCAGAGCAGCAGTTAAAGCTTCTGCGGATGACGTCTGCTCTGGCTTTTGTGTTAATCTCCCATCAACAATAATTGCAAGCTAAATCATGCAATGACGCTAATGTCTGCAGAATCAGTGGTGAATAATTTATGGATCTTATTATAGAGATGCCTTAAACATTTCTCTGAAACTCCTCCCATGGTTTTAGGAGGGAGAGCCTGGTTTCCTTGTGGTTTTGACTTGCTCCTGATATTTTTATCTGCTTGGGTCACGAACACACACACACATATTTCTCTTGCATCCGGAAACTTGTGGTAATTTGTCAGTGTTTGGGACGGTCTGGCTTCGCTGCTTCCCGCTCCTCCTCAGTCCAGTTAGTTTTTCCAGCTGGTTTCTGCGTGTGAACACAGCATCACCGGCTGATTACATCGTCTGAAGTACCTGCAGGCTAGTTTGCTCAGGGCGGCTCGAGTTAGGAGATGTTTCTTTTTGTCTTTCCAGCTGACTGACAGGAAAAATAAAAGCTCGTTTCTGCTCTGGCTCTGCTCCAGCAGACATCCTGTACTGTAAACAACATGCAGGCTGACGCTGTTGTCTTCTTTCTGCCCTGCCTGCAGCCCACCGGTTACATGGAGACGACTTTGTCCTACAGCTCCATAGAGGACCTGCAGCTCCTCTCCTGGGACAACGCTCCCAAGTACTGCATCCAGCTCAGCATCCCTGGAGGCACCATCCTGCTGCAGGTGATTCACACACCAGGAGGATGGAAATCGAGTGTTTGAACCTGCAGAACCCAACGTCAGCTACATCTGTAGCAAAAAATAATATCTTTAAAAACTCTTGATGAGTCACTTAAAACATAAATAAGTACAAAAATGTGAAAAGTTACAAGCACAAAGGTCTAGATAAAGTATTTATATATATTAAATTTACAAATTCAGAAAGTTTTTTACTCTTTTTCTTATCTACAGTGGCCCTAATATGCCTTTGTAAACAAATCTATGGAAAACAATCCAGTTAAAATAATATTAAAAAATAATAATTAACAATTCAATAAATGTAAGCATAAATGGAAAATGGATAATAAATCATAAAAACTATACAGAATAATGACATTTTAAAAGATCTGGCTTGCTAGTTATGTTGCCAGCTAAGTTATTAAAACGACTTGAAAACCTCTGAAGAAGAAACCGAGCGCCACTTCCTTCTTCACTCCATCTAAACAAAAATGGAGTTTCGGCAGATTTCTCTTGTCGTTGGTCAAAGACAATGAGCGAGCAAGGTATCTAAAATCTGTAATTTAATAACATTAAACTCTCATCTTCCTCCTTCTGGAGAATTTTTTATCAGGGACAGAAATAAACACGTTAAATTTGATTTAAGTTTATTTAATAACTAGGCAGTAAAAAGGGTTTTGAAATAAGAATGTTGTTGATTTTGTCGATCGTATGGTTTTCAATTAAAATGCAATTCATTTATTATAAACCCTGGAATTATCTCATTAAAACGTTTAATTCCACCACTAATATTTATGTTTACCAGTGTCCATTAGAACTGCTAGGAAGACATTAGCAGTTTTCCTCTTTGTTTTGATATGTTGATCATTTTACTTGGTGTGTGTATTTCAGTGATCGAATCAAAAAGTCACAGGATGACCTAAAAGACATTAAATAACTTTGACGATATCTGAAAAGGCAATCTGGTGGAGACTTAAGACGACCTCAAAGAGTCAACTGTAGCGAGGTTATGACCTTAAAGATGCAGGACGACCTCAAAAACAAAAAACTAAAAAGAAAAACCACTGAGGGAGACATTTGGTGACTTCAACAAGGTGATTGGGTTGATTGACCACAGAGATATGTTGTCACTTTAAGGGTTGGTTAAAGTGCTACCAGAGGTCTGGAATGACTGTAACGTCTTTGTTTTTATATTCCCTGCTTTTCTTCATGCTAACTGTCTTTCTTGTAGGGCTGGACAATAAATCAATAGTACCGTATTTTCCGGACAATAAGTCGCATTTTGGAGGGAAATTTATTTGATAAAATCCAAACACCAAGAACAGACATGTCATCTTGAAAGGCAATAAAAATAGATTAGAGGTAACAACTGGCTGAGTATCTGTATGGTATGCTAACGTTACATGACAAACAACGAACTGAGAACGTGCCTGGTATGTTAACATAACGTATTAAGAGTTATTCAGATAACTGTAGCATAAATAACATGCTAACAAGTTTACCAAACCATCCGTGTTTCTCTAAATCTCTAAACGCAATAAAATCTTCGTCCTCATTTTTGCTTGTAAACAACTCTGCTAACTCTGAAGGCAGAATAACACAGACCTAGAGCGCCCTCTTGCGGTTTAGTGTGAAAATAACACGTGATATGATATAATGATGTGTTAATTTCCACACATAAGTCGCTCTGGAGTATAAGCCACACCCCCGGGCAAACTAAGAAAAAAACTGTGACTTCTAGTCTGGAAAATACGGTAATATATATTGCGACAGGTATGGGATCAACATCTCATACCTGTAGAAATATTGCCCTAGATGTAGGTCTGAAGGAATATTCAGTCTGTGGGAGATGTAGCTACTCAACCAGCGAGTGAAGCTGGGTTGATGGCTTCAACTCACGCACTCTTTGGTTGCCTAGCAGCAACAGGAGTAACTTGCGCAGCAGCAGTTTAAGGTTTTGCCATTGCAGAAAAATAAAGAACAGCATGAAGTGGAAACTGTGGATAAACCAGTTTGGCAATATTTCAGATATTTAAAACAAAAACTGATCAATAAATCTTGAATTTGATAAGTATTCAGTAGCATCCTGATAGATTTTTTTCAGCTGCATCGTTCAGGCCTACTTTCTGAGTCGTTTTCTGTCCCTGGGTTTTGTTTTTGAGATTATCTTCAGCTGTTTATGGTAGTTCGAATCGTCATTTCTTTGAAACATTTTATCGTCCTGACTCAGTTTTCTTCCCCTGAACTCAGCAGCAGCTCTCACACGGCGCTGGACACACTGTTCCCGCTCGGCCGTCCATAACACGGACCACTTCTTTCTCTAAACACACACCGCGCCCTTGCTGCTCCTGTCTTTTTTTTCTTTTTTCTTTGACAGCAGTCAGTCGGCTTAAAGTCACCAAACATGACCCTGTTTGTGTTGAGTGCAAAAGGCTCCGGACGCAGGCAGGAAACGGGTGAAATGATTCCTCCATTGCGTCGTAGCAACAGGTTCTGCTTTCCGCGGCGTCGAAGACGATTGTGATTTAGAGACGCTAATGAGTTATTTATTGCCCCGCCGGCTGTGTAAACACTGGCTCGCCGAAACAGGCGTGTCTCGGTCAGAGGTGAAGCTCGGAGGATCGTCGTTAAACGGGCAGATTTATGTCTCGCTGCAGGTCGATCCAGGTCTGTTATGGATGCGCAGCAGCAGCTTTGTTTCACACAGGAAGCTCACAGGAAACCTTGTGTCTTTGTCTTGCATTCATGCCCCTTATTCATTCACATGATGCTTCACACTGATGTATTTTGTTTGGATTTTATCTGTTAAGCAGTGCCTCTGATCCTTTTTTTGTGTGCATTATGTATTCAACCCCTTTTAAGTGGACACTTTGCAGAACAAAGTTTATCAAAGTTTATCTTGTAGGTTACAGCTACAAGATAAAAAAACTGAAAGTTATGCACAATATCTGCAGACGATCTGATCTGATCTGATGCAGAGCGGCGAGCAGCAACTTTCAGTTCTTCCCACAGATTCTTAGCTGCTTTTAGTTATGGAGTTTGACTAGGCCATTCGTATACTTTCTACTCAACAATACTTTTTTTTTTATCTTGGCTTGTCACAGAAACTAATTTTGCTTGAAGAAAATTATCTCTGTAGTTATTGGGTTAAACAATCACACGTTATTTTGAGACAATTTTCAAGTCATATCTTAAAAATGTTATGCTAATGCGAGTTCACTGGAAGACATTTTAAATATTCAACATGAAACACAACAATCTGAAGAGAAAATAAAAACTACACACAACCAAAACCACAAATAAAATAATTACAAAGTCTCTGAAACAAAGAACCTTTCAAAATGATCCAACTTAGTTTAATTGATCATACAATTAATTGATCAACAGGTTATTTCAACAGGTTGAGTTGTATAGTATATAAATCCACACTGTAAAAACACAAAACCTTACCAGGTATTTTTCATCTAGTTTTTAGTGAATGTTAGTTTTGTCTTATTTTAAGAGAACTAACTTACAGAGAGAAATTTAGGAGCTTGTTTTATAATAATTCACCAATATTGATGAAAAAATATTTCCTGGCAGATTATTCCACTTAAATTAAGACATTTTTTCCCATGCTATCAGTGATGTAAACTGGAACTAATAATTTTTCATCAATATTGGGGAATTATTATAACATCCTATTTCTGACTGAAATTTCTAACTAAATTTTTGTAAAACAGTTTTTTCATTTCAAGTGTGCTAAAATATTTGCACTAGAAACTGGACCAAAAATACTTGGTAAGGTTTTCTTTTTGCAGTGCATTTTCCATTTCTGTCTTCATGTAGGTCCTACATTTATAATGGTCTTTAAAAGTTTTCCATTTGTGTTTGAGCAGAAGAAATCCTTTAAAATCTGGTCAGAGAGATTTCAGAGATAAGATCTTTCGTTTGGACTTCCTCCTTCTCTCTCTGCTCCTTTTCAGCTTCTCCGGAATTTGGGGTCAAAGTTGAGGAATTATGAGCTTTGGACACCCTGATCAGCTGCTTCAAAGTGACAAGAAAGGATAAATAACTTGCATTTTCTATGATGGTCATGCATCATAGAAAATGTGCAAAAAGTAACAAAAAGAGGAAGACCAAACAGCAAAACAATGAACCAAAGTGTAGAAAAAGAACAAATGTGGTTTGATGAAGAGATTTTTCATTTTCATGTGAGTCTAAAAGTTGTTTATTTGGCTCCAACGCGTTCTTTGTCTCCGTGTCGCCGCAGGCTGCCAACAGCTACCTGAGGGACCAGTGGTTTCACTCCCTGCAGTGGAAGGTGAGCTTTCTGTTTGTCTTTAACTATTAATTCATCTGTTTGGATTACAGAGACTCACTGAGGAAAAGGTTTCTGCTGTTGTTGTTCAGTTTGTCACCGATCTGACCTGTAAAACCCGCCGACAGCTGAAGCCGACACCGTCGCTTCCTGTGCTGCAAATTCACAATCCAAGAGCGTCCGGAGGTCTAAATAAATTAGATATTGGATAATATTCGATACAATCCTGATTTTTTAGATTTATGCATTTAAAGTGGTTTTGATCAATGGTAAATCTGTAAAAATAACAGTTTAACAGCAAGAAAATTGGTTTGTGTTATGGAAGAGGATTAGTGGTCACTGAAAAAAATTACTTTAATGTCACAATTACAACTTTAATCTTCTGAGATAAACAGTCAGAATTCTTATTTCTTTCTCCCAGAATTCTGATTATTTTCCAAGAATTTTCACTTATTTCCCACAAATTCTATCTTTTCTCAAATTCTAAATTTTCTCTCTGAATTCTGAAGTTCTTTGTCAAACTTCTGAAGAAAAAAAATATCAATTTTGACTCATTTCGCCCCCAAGTTCTGCCTTTATTTTCAGAATTCTGTCTTTTCTGAGAATTCAAAATGTTTCCTCGAAAAAAAAAACTGGAAAAAAAGCTTTAAAATTCTGAGAATTTTGACTATTTTTCTTCTGAGGAAAAAAAGCCAGAATTATAAAGAAATAATACTTTTTCTTTTTTCATGGCCCCAACCCTCCTCTGTATTTAACCAACAAGAAAATGAAAAAAAATTCAATTTAAAGCTGGACTAAAATCAAAGAATTACAAAGAAAGACTTTATTCAGCCTCCACAGAGCTTGGAAACCTCCGGGCAGGTCCATCTACATGGACGGAAATAGGGAGCCATACAGCAGACGTTCCTTTCCTCTGATCGTATATTTCTCCTGCAGAAAAAGATCTACAAATACCGTAAAGTCCTGAACAACCCGAGCCGCTGGGACGTGGTGCTGAAGGAGATCCGAGCGCTGGTGGACATGGCTCTGACCTCCCCGCTGCAGGACGAGTCCATCCATCAGGCCCCGCTGCACATCATCTCCACCCTGCTGGCAGAGGCACGTCCTGCACACTCAGGCATCCGCTGGGTGCAGTTGGTTCCTGTGCTGCTTCTTTTAACCTGGGCTTAAATATTTGTGCATAGATTTTAGAACCAAAGCTGCAGTTTGGATGCAGATCCTTTTCTGTTTACAACCTTTGTTTCTTCTTTTTTCCACAATAACTGATTCCTCTGGACTCCTGCACTTCAAAAACACAAAATCTTACAAAGTATTTTTGTCTATTTTCTTGAAATAAGACTAAACTGAAAAAATCCTTAATATTCTTAATATTGATGAAACAGTACCATATACACTGTCAGATTAAGTTATAACAAGATCTTTTTTTCATGTTTTAAGTGAAATATTTGTCCATTAATATTAAGAAATTATTTACCTAAAATGAGCTACGATATGTTGCTGAAAAGTTATTTGTAAGTTAGTTTTGTCTTATTTCAGGTGTAATAAGCTAAAGGTATCCAACATGTTTCATGATTTTGTTTTGGTTCCTAACGAGTTAAAAATGGTAAAAACTTTGAAAACAGTTGATGACACAAACTGGAACTTGTCTAAAGTGGTTTTATGTTTTTGTTTTTTAATGATATACAGATAAAAGAAATTATTTATTATTGAGCAGGTAAACAAAAAGAATCAACAATAAACTAATTTTGCATTTTTATTTTAATGATAAAATTTTCCATTTTTATTTAACTTGGCTCCAGTAGTTTCCTGTGTTGACAGTTTTCATTTCTTCCTGTCTGCAGAACTCGAACCTGAGCGCTCAGGATCACGAGAACATCATTGTGGTGAGTTTCCAGGTGAAGCCTCTCCAGCTTCCCGCCATGTTGCCCTTTGACCCCCTGGATATCGACCCCTGCAGGGCTTCTGGCCGCATGCGGAGCGCCCGTGTTTGTGCAGCTCACCTGATCCTGCGGCTTGGCGCCCTGCCCAGGTAAATAGCAGATAGCATATGGAAATATTTATCTGCGTGTGCTCTTTTGCAGGCGATCGCTCCGCTTTTGGAAAACAACCACCCGCCGCCCGACCTGTGCGAGTTCTTCTGTAAGGTGAGATGAGCAGCAGCGCTTCGCTCAGCTGTTGAACTCTGCAGATTCAGGATCTTTTAAGAAAGTCTTGCTTGTTGTGCTTGTTGCAGCATTGTCGGGAGCGGCCACGCTCCATGGTTGTGATCGAAGTTTTCACGCCTGTAGTCCAGAGAATCCTCAAACACAACATGGTGAGAAACCACAAACATTCTCCAACATTCAGGGTTTTTTGTTTTAAACCAGTGAACCTGGAAACCTTTCATCAGCTGCAGAGTCTCAGCAGTGAAAACCACTTCCTGTCCCAGCGTGGTTCCATCCTGCCCAGTTCCTTTATGGGATGGCAGACTGGTAGTCGGCTTGTTTCCATTAAAGGCTGCCTGACACTTTATCCCAGTGTTTTACAATGTAGGGCCTGTGGCCCCCTGCGGGGACGCCAGGGTGCTGTGTGGGGACCTCAGATAATTGGAGCAAAGATGAGACAAAAATTGCAAAAGTAAAAGAAAAAAATTAATTCCATAATTTAATCTTACATTTTTCAGTACAATTTTTGTTTTATGCCTTTAAATAATTTTTAAACGAAATATAACTTATGAAAGTCACAGTATGACGACTTTATTGGAATTTTATGACCATATTCTTGAAAAATTATGACTTTATTCTCATAATTTTCTGACTTTATTCTCGTACTTTTGTAATTTTTATACTTGTACAATTATGACTTTATTTTATGTTATTTTTACTATTTCCTTATAAGTTTATTCTCGCAGTTTGGCAAACTATTTTTTAAATATTTTGACTTTATTGTTGCATACCTCTATATTAAGACTTTGTCATATTATTTCAACATTATTCCTGTACGACTTTATTCTTGTAATTTGATGACTTTATGTTTAGTTTTTTAATAAGGCCCAGAGACTTAGCAATCCTCAAACTTTGTGTTTTTCTTTTCTTCCTGCAGGATTTCGGGAAGTGCCCTCGGCTTCGTCTCTTCACTCAGGAGTACATTCTGGCTCTGAACGAGCTGAACGGCGGGATGGAGGTGGTGAAGAAGTTTATCCACAGGTGAGGGAGCCTCTCTGAGCATTCAGAGCGTTTAGACGTGATTCCGCCTGCAGGATCTCTGGATTAAACATGTTTGTGTTGCAGCATGCACGGTCCGACGGGGCAGTGCCCTCACCCCCGTGTGCTGCCCAACCTGGTGGCCGTCTGCCTGGCGGCCATTTACTCCTGCTACGAAGAGTTCATCAACAGGTCAGTAATTTCCTGAAAATCAGGCTCCTTTTCCACTAAAAACGCTTAATCTGCTTCACTTTTAAAGCTAATTACCGCCTTTTACAACCTTTAGCTGCACACTGAATGGCTCTACGGACTGTTTGGGGGTAACCCCGTTTGTAATCTCACATTTTATGATCCGAGTGTTTAGCTAGAGCTGTTGATTCAGAGGAGCCGTGGCGTTGTTTGCCTCCATGTTTCCATTGATTAGACAAACCCCAGGCTGGTAATTTCCCACATCTTGCAGCTCTAATATGAAGGAAACGGTACAAACAGTCATTTCCAGTTGTTACCAGGAAGGCAGCCCATAATCGGATTGGTCATCAAACCCACATTATGCCATTTATAGCCCTAAACGAATTTGCAGCATCCCGCAGCGCCACAGAAATACACAAGCAATTATAGGAGAAACAAATAAATGGAAAATAATTAAATATATTGCATGATCATTGGACTGTGGAGAAAACCCTGCAGCTTTTTATGAGAGCTGCTGTTAGTGGGTTTTTCTTGTCAACAAACTCCTTTATTGAGCTTTATTAAATTTAATTTGTTATACATATGAAACAAATGTTTTATATCCTGTAAAAAGAAAGAAATAAAATCTGTTAGAGCGCTCTGTTTTTAGTAAATTTTCTTTTCTCATATTTTAATTTTACAGTTTCAGTCACATTTCCTCATCTTACCAAGTTATTTTTTACATCTTTTGTAAAGAGAGATGTGGTGATTTTTTTTTTTTTGGAAAATGTCAATTTGCAGTTTGCCATAATTCATGTAAGAGAAGACAGAAAAGGAAGATTTCAGGTCTATTCGATACATATAGCAGAACATGGTGGCGGCAGCATCATGCTGTGGGGGTTTTATTCAGCAGGGAACCTGATCAGAGTTGATAGCGCTAAATAATGGACCTATAAAAGCATCCAGATCTAAAGTAGGAAGGTTTACATCAAAGAATAGGCATGTTGTAGAATGGCCTAGTCAAAGTCGAGACTTAAATCCACTTGAAAATCTCTGACAATAATTTAAAATTGGTTCTCTTGGACGTTCTCAACCAGTGGGGTCCAAAAAATGTATTTTATGTGGGCCAAAAATATATAATTTTTATAAACTAAAATCACGGAAAATATCTGTTATGTTCTTTTTTACCTACTCAACAATTAACTGAGAATGAACTATTTTAATTGAGCAAAAATTGTTTTTCTTTTTTTTTTAGGAACAGGATTGTATATCCAAAACCTGAAATTGTTTTTTTTCTTGTTAAATGAAGAAAAATAATTTTTCTTCATTTTGTTTTTCTTACTAATAAAAACAAAATCCAGGTTAGTCTTGATTTATATTTGTTTGTTTTATTTATATTTGTTTTAAAACACGACATTAAAAGCAGGTTTTGGGTCCAACAGAATCTGCTTTAGAGTTCAGATCAACGAACGGATGAGGCCATAGCTGCCATGACAGCTGAAGATGACGTTGCATCTAATGTTTATCAAAAGTAGATTTTCATTTGAATTTAAAAATTGTAGTTTTGTGATCATTCATTTGATGTTTGAACAGCTTTACTCTAAACCCAGTCTGACTGATCTGGAGCTTTTGTGCTAAAAATAACAAATAATACAAATAAACAATGAGCCAAACGACCCGTTGCTGTTTGAATGTTTTGCAAAGTGAAATAAATTGCAGAGATGAAATGAAAACAAGAACTACATCACCGCATGGAAATACCGGCTTGTTTATCCTCCGCTCGACGTCTTTCCAGGAATTTTAGTCTGGCTGGTTCCGGTTGTTTTGGGTCTTTTGGGTCTTTATTACCTTCAACCCCAAAGCTGCTCTTCTCCCTGAGCTTCCGTCGCTGTGGCAGCCATTTCTCCTGACTCTGTTTACATCTCTCTTCGCCCTCTTATGTCATTCCCACGTTTGCCACGCGTTGGAAAGTTTGACTCGGCTTCATGTCTTTTGTTTGTTTTTTATCCGTATTTTACCTGAATACAACTTTATCTCGGTTCCGATCCGTTCACCCAAAAAAGATTCAACATGCAGTACTAATTCTAGCAAGATAAGATATTTGCAGTAACGATGCCACTTGGTAGGATTTTGTGTTTTTGCAGTGAAAACATTTGTAAAATCAGCTGTTCAGACGCAGCCATGATGGTTTGTGATGTTTCTCCCGCCTGCAGCAGAGACAACTCTCCCAGCCTGAAGGAGATCAGGAACGGCTGCCAGCAGCAAAACGACCGCAAGCCGCCGATGCCGCTCCGGCTGCTGCGACCGGAACCGCCGACGCCGCCGCCTCCCTCCACCATCCTGCCTCTCTCCAGCGCCCCCCAGCCGTCTCCACCCGCTAACCCGCCGGCTCCGTCCATCCCCATCTCCTCCCCGACGCCCTGCCTGCCGCTCTCCCCTCCGCCCTCCATCGTCAACTCCAGCGAGATCCTGGTGGAGCTGGAGCGGAACAACAACACGGCCAACGCCAAGCGGAAGGGCGGGCCTGCAGGGGGCGACAGCGAGCCGAACCTCATCGACTGCCTGCTGGTCAGTCCGGCTGTGAACACGCTGTCCATCCAGCTGCCGGCGCAGGCCGACCGAGTGCTAGGCTGCTTCGCCCTCATCCTCAAGATGCTGTGAGTTCACACAACAAGCTCCCACTTCAACAAAACGTCACATTAAGAGACGCAGCAGCAGAAAGAGACGCAGCAGCATATTCTCGATTTGTCTGCTGTGTGTTTATCAGCAGGACAAAACATGGGTTGAATAAAGAACAGCAGAAAATTCTCATTAGGGCAGCCAGTGAAAACTTTAGAAATATGTATAATTTTATTTTTAACTGAATAAATAAACCTGACCCTCCTTGGGGCGCCACTGCAACAAGATGCTATTTGCAGTTTTCAAAATTTGCAAATATAAAAAGCTGAGACCTGAATGAGATTTTGGTGAAAAGAGAAAACCCGGCGTTGATTGGAGCTGCTCTGTTCAGCCCTGCACAGAAACAGCTTTCAAAGTTCAGCTCAGACAAACTAGGACTTTACTCGGCTGAATTGATTGACAGTTTTTACTCAATCACAGTTTAAGTTCAATGGACTTTTTGCAGATTTTCCCACAGAATGTTCAGCTTAGACTGACGTTACATCTAGATTCTGACCCTACGATCTTCTTTTCTTTTAAACTGCCTTCATGCTCACAGTTTCATCTCCACGTTAGCAGTTTATACATCAAAACGCAAGTATTTTTCTCTACTTTCACCCAGTGTGACTCCCACTGCTGTAGGACTTGCAGCTTTCTGTCATATCACCCCAAACTGCAGAGTGCACACCCAAACTGATTCACTCCCATTAGAGATCAGCTCTGATTTTTGTCTATTTAGACGTGAACTGAGGGCTTTGTTTAACCCCCTGTCTTATCTTCTACATAAAACATTCACACTTATAATTTTACATGTGAGCCCATCAGAAAGTTCTGACCTTCTGGGGTCATAATTATTTTTATTGTGGCGCATACTGACCAATCAGAGCAGTTCTGTCTTTAGAGTAAAAAGCTCATTTTAAACTCCTGCTTTATTTTGTAAACGTTTAAGGTGAACTGAACACTGAGCTGTTAAATTGCCATTATGTTAAAATTTCTCATCTACACACTAAACACACACACACGAACTAAGCGCTTCCTTTTAGTGATAAATGCTTTCAACAAACCAGTCAGTGTCCCAGTTAGAGGAAGGTGAGTGAGCCCCCGACTGGCTGATCGCTGCTGATTACAGGGTGAAAGTGGAGCGGCGGCGGGGCGTAGACCCAGCGACTAATCTGCCAGGCTTAAAAAGCAACAGTGTTTGTCGGGTTGTAGCATTTGTGACAAAGCTGGAGTTACTTAGTCTGTGTAATCTGAGGCTTCAAGAGCTTCTGTTACATCAGCACAACTGTTAATCTGCGTCATCGCAGCGCTGCTCGGGTTTCACTTTCTGCTGTCTTTTTTTTTCTTTTTTTTACGCCACGGGCCTCTTTGCATTGTCCTCATGGGTTTCTTGCTTTTCTTTTGTGATTTTTTTTTTTAGGTCGGACTACGATGACTGGAGACCGGCTCTGGCCAGTCTGCTGCAGCCCATCCCGTTCCCCAAAGAGTGAGTGCTTCTATCCTCACTTGCTGCTCTCACCCAGAAAGATTCACACCTCAGGAGTCAAAAACTTAAAATAAGCAAAGAGACGCTTCTGTTTGCTTTCACTTCACTATTTAAAATTAAGTAAACAAGCAACTTGTAGAACCACCTTTTAGAAGAAATGACTCTCCTGGACTTTCATTAGGCCATTAAAAAACCTTGCCTCTTGTTTCCAGCCATTTTGCAATTCTGTTTTCAAATGAAGTCAAACAATCGAACCTCCTCTACCGTGCTAGTAACTCATGCTAGGTGTTTATGTCGTGTTTCATGGCTGTGCTGTAGGGTTGACAGAACTATTTAGTTAGTGGAACTAATGTTTAGGTTCAGTGATTTAGGTTTAGTGCAACTGTTCCAAGAGGCTCCTGCGGGGGCCGGCTTCCTGACGTAGGTGTGTGAAGCAGCGGTCCCAGCCTTCCTGCCCCCAGAGAGCCTGCTGTTATTGGGCAGAATCAGCCCAGGGCTGTTGTTGCATGGCCCACTCAGAGCTTCATTAGGGTTCGCTGGTGAACATTTTGTTGTTTCTCCAATGCTGGGATGCACCTGCTTCTCACCTGCACCACTGCTGCCCCATTTGCGCCTTAGGCATTGTTGGGCAGGGCAACAACCTGACAATAGAATGAGTCATCTTCGCCATGCACAAGGAGAGGGTTGATTTCTCTGACTGAGTGGCTGAGACAACAAAAAGCCAATAGTTAGTATGTTAAACATAAAGGTCCATGATAGGAAAAAAACTGGGTTGGAGCAAAAGTTCTCCTCAAATGGAACATGCAGCTGGTTTCAAAACACTTTCTGGAAAAATGTAATTTGGAAAAAAATAGAGATGTTTGGCAGTGATGCACAGAAGCAAGCTGTTGTTCATGGTGGAGGAAAACTCCTGGTCGGGGCAGCTTGCAGTCAATGCCAGAGTAATAAATTCAAACACAGCATCAAATCTACAATAGAATAAGTCTCAAATGATTAATCATAATTAATTTATTACTCCAATAATCGTCAGCTAGTTCAGTAATTGATTAATCGTTAACTGGAGTTTTTTGTGTGTCTTTTTTCTCTTTCATAGTCTATTGAGGGCTTTGGTAGAGTGTTAAAAGTTTGAATTTCAAACAAGAAAATCTGGTTTTCTGCAAGAAAACTAAGTCTTCAACAATTAATCAGATTAATTGTGATTATTCAATTATTGAAATAGTTGTCGACTAAACTGCAGAGCTTTTATTTTGCATTTTAGCCCATGAATGTTTATTTTTATAATTTAAAAACATTTAATTAATTATTTACATTGTTTTATGTATTTTAAATATTTTCTAACATAAATTTATGATTGAATAAAAAAATCATGTCAATTTCTGTGATTAATCGATTGCTAAAATAATCAGTAGCTGCAGCCCTACAGTAGAATGTCTAAAAAGTAAAAAAAAATCAAGAGGTTACAATGGCCTAGTTAAAGCCCAGAAATCAGCCTGTTTCAAGTGCTGCAAGTTGACAGCAGCTCAGACTGCAATAACAAAGAGATACAGAACCTTTCACTAATTTCCTCTAGAGGACAATTAACTCTCAGCAGTCGGAAAATATAACGAGCTTGTTGCCCTCCTGAAACCTGTGAACTTGTGTCATCAGCGTCTCATCACTGCAGCTGAAACAAAAAACTTTCCTGTTCCTCACATCTGTCTCTGTTCTCCTCCCTGCAGAGCTCTGGCTCATGCCAAATTCACAAAGTAAGTATCGGAAAGTAACAATGTATGCAAAGCCAAGTCGGTGGCTTCATCTCGGCCTGACGCTTGTTCCTCTGTCTGCACAGGGAGCTGAAATACGTCATCCAGAGGTTTGCAGAGGATCCCAGGCAGGAGGTGAGTGGCTGCTCCTCTGTCTGAGAGACAACGGAGGAGGAAAGAATGGCAACATTTGTGTTTCTCTGGCCTCCAGGTTCACTCCTGCCTGCTCAGCGTGCGCTCGGGTAAAGATGGCTGGTTCCAGCTCTACACCCCTGGGGGAGTGGCCTGCGATGACGACGGCGAGCTGTTTGCTAGCATGGTGAGGTCATTACTCCAAAGGCTAAAAACGAATGCTAATATTAGCGTTATAAATCCTCTTTTGTTTTATATTTTTAGCACTACAACAGACCAGGATTCTGTGTCTTTAATAAAGCTTGAATTAAATTGGATAACATCTTTGCAGACTCCACACATCCTGGACACAAACTGTTTAGACTTTTTAGATCAGCGCTAAAGAACGCGAGTTACTAAAACCTCCTGCCACAGAGACAACACAAATACATTTACATATTTATTGGTTTTGTCTGATGTTCATATTAATGTTTTTATTAAGAGCAAAGGAGAACCAAGTCCAAATTCCTTGTTTGTGTGCACAAATCTGGCAAATATGGAAGCTATATCCATGTTATTGTTGATGTTTTCCCATTGAAATGAGTCAATCTCCTCTCTTCTGCAGGTCCACATTTTAATGGGTTCCTGCTACAAAACAAAGAAGTTCCTCCTCTCTCTGGCTGAGAACAAGTTGGGTCCCTGCATGCTGCTGGCCCTGCGAGGGAACCAGACCATGGTCGAGGTCAGAATACAATTTTTACACTTTTTTAGACACTTACACTCCAGATGAATGCTGAAATTCCCTACTCAACCTTTAACCTCCTGTTATGGTCATGGAAGTTGGGTGATTGAATGCTGTCAATATTGATTTGGCTGAAATTCTGCAACTAAATGTTGCCTTTTTTTTTTTTTTACTTCTTTTTAAAATCAGATTTGCTCTTTTTGACCTGGTAAAATTTGTCTCTTTTCTTTGAAAATCCACCAGAATCTTTTTTTTTTCTCAGTGTGTCTGCCTGAAAGCATTGAAACCTCCTGAGACAAATGCCATTAGTTTTACAGATTTTGTCTTTGTGTTCTCAGATTTTGTGTCTGATGCTGGAGTACAACATCATCGACAACAAAGACACGCAGCTGCAGATCATCTCCACTCTGCAGAGCACGCAGGTGGGCTTCCGCATGTACGAGCAGCTCTGCGACCGTCAGCGGGAGCTGAAGGAGCTGGTGAGTTTCTCCTCTGAAAGCTGCATGTTTTTAGTAATTAAATTAGGGGAAGCTAAGTATGCTAACTGTTTTCAAAGTTAGGTAAAGCACTAAACAAAAGATTTGCTTTGCTATTAGCAGATTAGTGTGCTTTCTATTGGTTTTCTGTGCTTTAAAAATGAAACTGGTCCTGTGTGTACCGTACAACTCCAACTTTTTGTTTTTGTTCTCTTCAGCAAAGAAAAGGCGGCCCCACACGGCTGACTCTGCCCTCCAAGTCCACGGTTAGTTCACCCTCGGTCTGTTAAATAAACTCTCCTTTCTGGCTGGCAGATAATAAGAACGTTTGCTTCATCTCTTCCTCGCTGCAGGATGCAGATCTGGCCCGCCTCCTGAGTTCAGGCTCTTTCGGGAACTTGGAGAACTTGAGCCTGGCCTTCACCAACGTCACCAGTGCCTGTGCGGAGCAGCTCATCAAGCTGCCGTCACTCAAACAGCTCAACCTCTGGTCCACTCAGGTCTGCAGTCACTACGACGCAAAACAAACCAGAGGCGGACGAAGCCGTGAAATGACTCACCTGTGGTTTGTTTTGTGCTCCGCAGTTCGGGGATGCAGGACTGAGGTTGTTATCCGAGCATCTGGCCTGCCTTCAGGTCCTGAACCTGTGTGAGACGCCGGTCACCGACGCAGGCCTGCTGGCTCTGAGCTGTAAGAGATCGCTGGCTGATAAATCTTCTGATACGTTGGCAGCCATAGCTGATGGAGCTGCTTTTTGTTTTTCAGCCATGAAGAGCCTGTGCAGCCTGAACATGAACAGCACCAAGCTCACAGCCGACACGTACGAAGACCTCAAGGTAACTCCAGGCAGCTGGAGCAGAAGTTACATGTGGAGTACTCCAAGGTTCAATCCTTGGAACCCCTCTTATTTAATATCTACTTGCTCTCTAACGTTGAACTGCCTTGATGCTTAAATGTACTTTACTAATAAACTTAGTAATGTAACAATCAGCAGATTTTAAGTCTTGTTTTCTCTCTGCAGGCCAAACTGCCCAACCTGAAGGATGTTGATGTCCGGTACACGGAGGCCTGGTGATCCGCCACAGTCTCCTGCCCCATCCATGGTCACACACACACACACACACACACACACACACACACACACACACACACACACACACACACACACACACACACACACACACACACACACGCTCACACGCACACACACACACACACACACACGCACACACACACACACACACAGACCCCACCATCAGCTGCACCGACCAGAACCTCAGCGCCGCGCCGCCTGCCAGCTATGGAGGAGATTTCTTCAGCTTCAACCACTTCAGGGTGCAGCCGTGAAGGAAAGGTCAACATTTCTCCGTTGACGTTTCATCCCTCCTCTCTTCTACCCTTTTTTAAGGATTTGTTTTAGTCAGACTGCACAAGGATCACACCCATTTTATCCGTCCTTGGCCCTACATGGTCTCTGAGTTTTGAGGCTCCCTGTGATGAACGCTGGAGACGTTCAGGTGTTGTGTCCGAAACCGTTTTCTCTCTAAGATGAGTTCCTCCCACCAGTTCTGACCTGATGTCCCGTCAATAACCTCACGTTGCATTCAAGTACATCTCGTATTCTAGATTATCTAGATTAAAATGAATCTAAAATCAAATGATCAAACTTTAATATCATGAAATATCACCAGACTTAAGCAGCACTTTCTAAATGTTTATCATGCATTTGTTTTATTAATAATAATTCAAACGATGAAAACAGAAATTAAATTTTGTAAAATGTAGCTACAAAAAAAAACCCATTACATTACCAAAAAAAAGTATTTTAAACGTTATTTTCAAAAGATACTTTAAATCTTGAAGCCATGACTCAAATTTATTGAATATGATTATATTGGAAAGGGTCAGGTTTGAGTTTTGTATCCAGAAGTTCATATTATCATGTTGAATTTAATTTTATTACATTTATCTAATAAAATTATGCATGACACTGTTGATATCTGACCAGATCTGGAGGGACAGTGTCCCCTGCCGGCCGCCATCTAGGACCACCCATGGTCCAGATGATCTTCAGCCCCTGAATAATTCTGCTTCAGGATCTTTTGTCCAGGTCACAAAAATGTATAATTTAGAAACTTGGCATGTAATTCTGGATCAAGGTTATAGGCCAAGCCATGAAGAAAAGACAGCTTTTCTCTAAATTATTACACCACCATGGGGCATTCATGTCCACTCCTAAAACAGCATCTAAAGAAATAATACTAAATTTATTTAACAGAAATTAGTTTTTTATCTATGAATATAATAATGCTAAACTGTTGCACTTTTAGCTTCAGTTGTATTGAGATAAAATTACAGTATGGCTGAGCGATATGGCCAAAAATAAAATCAATTTTTTTTTACATCAATTCCAATTTTTGATATTAATAGTTCTTTGTCTCACTTTTTTTAAAAATAACAAATAACAGAAAATATTTTCTATCATCTCTTCTGTGACTTGTGCAACTGAGTATTGGAGCCAGGCTATAAAAATGTATTGTTTAATTTTGAGAATATAGTCAGAATATTAGCAGAATAAAGACAAAATTTTACCACAAGTTATAAAAGTTTTAATGAGGAAAAAATCTTTGGGTTATCAAAATCTAATGTAACCAGTTCAGCAAGTATTTCCTCGAGACAGACAGTTCTTTGCACAATCATTTCAAAGTTCTGCTGCTGATAATAATTTGATAACTTCACAAGACGCCCACCATTCCTTATAAGTTTTTGTATAGGAGTTATAAAATGACTACTTTCTTCTAACATTAGGACTTTATTATGGCTATAGCATTGATTTATTGTCATATTACTTTCTTTATTATTATACAATGGTGTTCTTGTAATATTATGGCTTTATTCTAGTAAATAGATATAGCAATTTTTAGCTTGGCCATAAGTTCAAAATCTAAATAAATTGAAGCTTTTAAACGCTTGTCAAAACAAGATGGCGGCCGCGGGTACACCAACATTAAAATCCAGATTTTTCCAAAAATGTAATTTTCGAAAATTGAAAGATCTATTAATTGATTACATTTGATCTAGAACCGCCTCTGGTGTAGATTTAATGGTGTTGAATTTGCGTCTACTGGGAGAGAAAGTCATTTTGCAGCGAAAACTTTGCTCGACACAATAGCCGTTAGCCTCCTGACCGATTCATAATGTAGCTCCCTGAACGGACCGACACAACTCTGTCGGAGCCGGGACCTTTCAGTTTTTCCTAGAAAAAAACCTACTAATGTCCGTCACACGGAAAAAAAGAAAACTGAGTTTTTTATGATCTTGAACGTATTTTTCCAGATTTGGAAGTGGACGCGTTCGTGTTCCGCTTGTTTTCAGGAGGGAAAACATGGCGGCTGCTGTTTCTTTTCTTTTCTTCATTTGTATCCGGACGAAAGAGGAAAACCACTAAACTCCGAGTGACGTCATCTTGAGTCATCTAGGACATTTTTTGGCTCTGGAAACAAACTATGGTAGAACAATTTTGCCAAAAAAAACCTCTACATCCAACCAACTTCTGTCGACACTGTTCCGACTATGAAGAGAGAAAACGATCCGGACGGATTCATTTGTGTACATATTGGATCGGAGCAGTTGTTTGCTACATTCCCTCGGAACCAACGTTTGGAACTTTTTGTTCCCCTCCGGTATCAAATACACGTCAGAGGTGCTCTGACTGGTTAATTTATTGGCGTCGACCTGCCGACCTCTCCCACAGGACAGGACGTCTTGTTTCCTATTTATTTGGTGCCATCGAGGCTGTCTGTATCGACCCGTAACGGTCCGAAAGGTTCGGGTCCGGTTGTCCTGTACATACCGGTGTACATAATCGTCTTTTTGGAGTCCCTTTCCTTCTCCATCCCACTTTTTTCTTCTCTAAGCCTGATTTCAGCTGCAGGCTTGTGTTGCCTTCATCTTAACGTTTGTTTGTGGTTGTTTTCCTTGTTTTATTTTTTCACACAAAGTGCACTGTAATCATAAAAAAGGAAATGTTTTTCATGCATATTATTTTAACGGTTTCTCCTCTGATGATTTAATCACTTTAATCAGAGTCTTGTTTCCTGTGTTGTTGCTCGAGTTTAAGTTTCTTTTTTTGTTTTTGCACGTATGCGTTGCTGCATCATCTATTTTTTTTTTGTAATTTATATATGTAAAAGTTTGTAAAATCTGATAAAAGGGGGGTTTGATCACTTATCTCCCGAAAACGAACGACTGAAACGGAGGGATTTGATCCCCCAAAAAGGCCAGTTCAAGGGGGGATGATGAAAGCCGATCTGACCGTAGCTGAGCTTTATTTGTTTAAATGTGGCCATTTTTTATATAAAACAATAATAATAATAATAATGCACATATTTCTCGTTTTTCTTAAAGAATGTTGTTCAGATAATCATATCAGAGGAGGGACCCAGTGGTTCCGCATTAGCAGCTCGAATTTTACTGCTTTAGTTCATTCTTTAATACTTTTTCAATTTTATTGGAGCAGTTTATGAGAGGGAGATGAAGAAAATAATGTTTATTTAATTCATTTGTTGATGGAGCCAGGAGACGGTTAGGTTGAAAGATTTAAAAACACGCAACAAAAGTATCCTTTTTACGCAGCTTTAAATGCAACATTTCATGTAATGTGAGGGTTTAAAACAAAGTGGAAATGAGTTTGTGATTTTCTGTTTCAATGTGGAGAAAAAAATTATTTAAAATCACGCAAATCTACAACGTTGTGACCAGCAGGGGGTGCTGATTCTCCAGGAACGAGCGCTTAAAACACAGAGGGGAATCGGTTGAAGTAAGGAGTCATAATCAATAAATTAGAATATTCACTCCAGCAACTCCATAATTATAGACTATTTGCACACAGATTAACATTTTCAAGCTTTTATTTGTGTTGATTATGATGACCTTTCTACTCAGCTAATGGAAACACATCGAACAAATGCAAACCAACAAATTTAAAACAAAAATATGCAGTTAATATAACATGGTTTAAAGTTATCTTAGAAATCTGATGAGGTCATATTTCAATTCATTGAATATTACTTTAAGATGATTTCCCAGCATGACAGACATTTGAATGCTGCACTTTCTCACCAAACTGGCTCCTGGTTTTGGTTCCCAACATGCAGGCGTGAGCCGGATCTCCCAGAACCGCTCCTGTAAACAAGTGGGCCCTTCTGGGGCGTAGCGTGTCCAGGTTTCAGTGTTTAATGGCTGAATACAGGCTTTTCTCTCCTGTTTTGTCTCTGTATCCTGTGGAGCTTTGTCCTCATTTCTTCTGCCATCTGTTTTTTTTCTTTTTTAAATTTTTAATTATTATTGTAGGCAATCTGTCAAGTTTCTACACACGTCTGTGTCAAATCTTATCATATTGTGAGGAAGCAGCCACATGTGGCACAACCTGAAAAATAAGTCTGAACGTTTTTTGTTTGCAGCTGGAAAAGTGGCGCCCATTTCTCTCTTTTTCACTCGCATTGATCTGCTTTTCCTGCTGGGTTATTATTACTGTTATCAATTATTATTATTGCTGCTGCTGCTGCTCTGTGGCTGTTGTAATAAAAATACAAAGGCTCTTTGAACGGAAAAATAACTATGATGTGAAATAATTTCAATCAAAAATAAAATGTCTGTGAATATGTTTCAGCTGACTGAGTCATGTGGGGGTTTTCTTATTAGGATTTTAGGAATAAATTAAATGTCTTTTGCAAAAACAATGCAAAAATTAGACAAAATTTAAACATTTCTTTTTTCTTTTTAGAAGAGCAAATACCAGAAACTGAAATACTTTTTGTTCAAAGAAAAATCTCAAAAGTACTGTTGTGGTTTTTGCATATTAAACATTTTTTTAATCTACATTTTCTTATTTCCCCCTTTTTAAGAACAGAACTAAATTAACAGTTGAATTTAGGCGACAGCAACCAGTTATGTATCGAAAGTAATTCAGTCTACAGTAATTACTGACATTGTGGAAGTTATCCACAGGTCCCATTTTTCTTCAGTTTTAGAATGGAGGTTTTTGCGTGTATTTGACCCTTCTGAGCCACCGTACTCGGATACATTAACGCACACAGATGGCTGGTTTTCAGTTTTTACTTTATCAAAACATCTCCAACAAACTGGAGACATCGCTGCGATCATGACTTCATCACTGTTTAGGTAGCAAACTTCTTCTGCCGGACAGGAGCGGGGAGCTGAGACACGATGTCCACCAGGGGGCGCTCCACCACAACCAGAGACAGATCCTCCAGCAGGTTCACAGACAGCAGGTGCTGAGGGAAAAAAACAACAACGTTCAATCTGTGGAAAAGGTTTGTGAACCAATACAAATGTTTAGCAATATTTATAATTTGTCTTCTACATCATCGTCTTAGGGGCATTGGAGACAGAAAAAAGTAATTTTCTGCCAGAAAACTATACATTTTGGGTTTGAAAAGTACAAAATTTGCTGGAAAAAAACTCAAATTTTGAGGCTCATCACTAAAAGTTTCTAGAAAAAAACTTTAAAATTCAAGTTTGAAAGTCAAACATTTACTTGAAAAACTTTAAAGAGTAAAAAATGTTAGACTTTTGAAACTCAGAAAATCAAAAAAAGTAACAATTTTGACAATTTCAAGACTAATATAAAAATTTGAGTTTCTTCTGAAAAATGTCAAATCTTAGCAGATTGACAAATTTAGAATTTTTTAAGCTTTTTATATATGCCAGAAAATCTCTACATACAAAGAGCATTATAAATAAAATCTATTATGAATTTCTGAGATCTATCTCAGAAATATTTACTTTTCAAACTTTAAATTTCCATGTTTCGTCTAGCAAATTTCTTCGATTAATTTAAACATTTCTGAGTTGTCTTTCTGTCAAAATGTGAATTTTCCAAACCCAGAAATGTTCTCCTTTTTGTATCTAAAATGGCCCTAACATGCAGTTGCAGTTTTCTGATTATTTTGCAGCAAAATGTTTTTAATTTAAACATTTTCAGCCCAGACTGCTGAGCTTCAAACAATTTTAAATCTGCGTGAAGGTTTTACCTGGAAGTTCTTGCAGATCTTGAAGGCGTGGCTTTCTCTAAGCCTCTGTGGCTGAGGAAGACTCCGGAGGATCGTCTGATTATAGAACTTTGACGTTGCTTCAGGAAGAGGCTGTGCACATAAAACAGTAAGGTGACCAATTATGGTTCCCTGAACAGGGTCGAAAAGGTCAAGTCACACAAAACATTTGCCTTAATTTTTGCACAAAATTATTCTTGAATGAGATTTTAACGGTTTTAGGGCACCTTGTGCTTTAAAATACAAATAAGCTGCTGCTGGCCACGCCCCAACTCAACGTTTACACTCAGAAGTGGAAGTTGCTGTTAACAGATGAGCAATTATACAACCATACGCCTTTGAAAAGCAATAATTGTGCCTCCTGCACAATCAACAAGAATCCAGTAAGTGGTTTCTGGAGGATAAGTCAACGGGAAAATACTTGCGTTTTCCACGTACAGTGGTAAAAACAGCTGACCAAATGTGCTGGAACTCAGATTGGGTTGCTAGGTAACGATCAGGAGGTTTTTAAACAGCTCATATTCCTGCAGCTACTGAAAAAGTGAGAAATGGTGCAACTTTGGTCCCCAATCGAACCGAGTCTACTGACTATCAGACATAAAACATCCTTAATGCCAAAAACGGCTCTTTTAATTGTTTACACTGATTTTAGGCCCAAACTTAAGTAGAAAAACAGACAAAATGTGAATTTTCCATAACCAGTTCTGGAAGAGTTGTGATCGGGTGGCTTTGCGTACCAAACTCTGGTCGATGATGCAGAACATGAACACGTCGTGCAGCATGATGTGTGCCGGGTTGTTGGGGTTAAAGGAGATGCAGGTGATGGGCGTGTCGCGCTGCAGCCACAGCGGATGCAGGCCTTGCCTCTGCAGCTGCCGGCTCCACTCGCTGTACTCCTTCTGCTTCAGGGAGAACTCAAAGATCTGCAAACCAACGACACAAAGTCAGCAGGTTCCATCCTCTGGGTGAAACAGAAACGTCGCAGAGGCGCCCACCTGCTGGTCGGCGTGAACGGAGACGAGGTTGCCGCTGGTTGGGTGGATGGAGACGGCTGTGGGGCAGGAACTGTAGGCCGGGACCGAGCAGTGCAGCTGCAAACCACAAACAGATTCTGTTTCCTGCCGCTGCTCTGCTCCAGGATGTCCAAACAAAAGCAAACATATGAGCTCACCTTCATCTTTCGAAGGTTGAAGACGTGGATCTCGCGGTCTGTGTTTGCCGTCGCGAGCCACTGACCGTCTTCGCTGGGAGACAGGATGTGGACAGGCTGTTTGGAGCCTGGAAACATTAAGAATATTTACTAGAAATGGTTCAAAACGTGACAAAATGAAACATTTCTGCAAGGTTTCAGTTTATTAGGGCTGAAACAATTAATCAGGATAATTGTGATTAATTGATTATTCAAATAATTGTCAACTAATGTAGTAATCAATTGATAATCAACTTGACTTAAAAAAGAGAACAAAACACTTTGTCAACAGATTAGTTCTATACTGCATTAAGGCGGAAAAGATTAATTGAAATAATCGTCAACTTGATTAATTGTTAACTGGAGTACGAAAACTCAAAAAAGGCCAATTGCTGAAAAAGCAACATCCAGAGAAATTATTAAACCCAAACTGTATAGATTTTGTATTTAAGATGAAAATACTTTTATCTGTAATTACATTTTACCCCAAACTCATCAAATGCCAGTTTCAGAATCATCTTGTTTAAAGTTGTTAATGCATTTTAGGCAATAAAATGTTTATTTTCTTCTTTGTTGATTTACAGGATTACCTCAGCAGTTAACCAATCAGAAGTTTCTGATGCTATGACATCATCGTCTGCCTCTGAGAAGCGAACCAAACAAACCTCCAGCGAAACTCACCAGACTTGTGTTTGAGGGTGTGAAGGTATTTACAGTCCATCTGGTCGAGAGCGACGACGACGACGGAGGAAAGGCTGGAAGAGGCGAACAGCCTGCAGGAGTCCGAGGAGAAGCAGAGCTGATGCACCGACTTCAGCTCCCTGGGCAGCTTGGACACCTGCATGGAGGACGAGACGATGAAACAGGAGACGAGTCTCTGGAATGGTTCTACATGCTGCGCTTTAAATATCAGGATGACTGCAATTCTAGTGTTCAACTATCAAAGTACGCCGCTCATTCCAGCTGTGACTTTTGCTATCAATTCTCTTTTTAATTAAAATATTTAGTTTTTGCTTCATTGAATTACATTGAGGAAATCCCTGTAAGCTATAAACTCCATTCAAAGGTTAAACAAGTCATCAGGCTTTTACTCGGCTTCGAGTGAAGCAGCTTGTTGCCGTCTGCTGCAGGTCTTCTAAAATTGAGATTTAAGTTTCGTGCAATATTTTACAATTTTACAATGCAATCATTCTACAGCTGCTAGAGTGCGCCCTCTAGTGACAGATGCTATTCAACTTTTACTGTTTTTTCACAAACAAACCTCTGTTGTTTTTACAAATTTCACTCTACAGAAATGGTTTATGCATCAAGACGAAGCCACAGGTGTTCGCTCTGAGGAAATATAAGAAGCCTTGCTGTGGGTTTTGCCATATAAAATAGTTTCAGTCTTTCTGTTCAGTCAAATTTGTCCTCCAAAGTAAAGAAAGAAGCAAAGAAATCCTGCTCCTTGTTTGGCTTTTTGCTGATGAAAATGTGGTTTCCTCACCTTCTGGATGCTGACGTTGTTGCTGCAGAGCTGCAGCCTGTAGAGACGAACGGCGGCGACGGTGGCGTACGCTAACCAGCTTCCACACGGAGACAACGCGCTGCAGCAGATATGGTCCTGGCCCTGCAGGGGGCAGCAAACACAACAGTCACTTCAAGTTTGATAACTTGTGATGTTACACACAGAGAAAACTCCAACAGAACCAGAGCCAGTCACCACAAACCAGGGCCCAATTGTTGATTTAATTACTTTTGGAGCAGATAAAAAAAACACAGATATCTGATATTCCAATTTACTGAATCCGTCTCTATTCATGTTTTCCTGTTTTGTAAAAAAGTAAAAAAACAGGGAATTAGTACAGATTAAAAACAAAAATTGTAGTTATATTTCGTTGTAGAGTTGACCTGAAGTCAATAAGACACTCTAGTCAAAACGGATAGCGGTTCTGGGCGTGGTGACATCACTCTGAACTATGGAAACCCAAATGGTTCAATGGTATAAAAATCCAGATTTTTCAAAAATGATTAAAAAAAAATCAATTTATCACCCAATTAAAACTGATTAAATAAATAAATTGATCCTAAAATATTTGGCAAACGTGAGGATGTCACGCTTTTCCTTCAGAATAAAACCATTGAGATGAAAAGCTGGAACCAGTCAAACCATTTCAACATCTGGAGCCCAGCGGGTTACCGTGGCAACGGTCCTCTGCCTACCTTTGACTTCAGCTGGATCAGTTTCTCTGGTTTCCTTTGCACAGTCAGACTCTCTCCAGGTGTTCCTGCCAAGACGCAGTACAGAGCGGAATCACTTTAAGGACAAACCAAAATAAAAATATCACAATAATAATTACAAATTCTTTTTTTAATGATTACAAATTGTGATTTTTAGGTATTAAAATACTTAAAATCAGGGAACTTAC